TGTATGTGTGTGTGTGTGTGTGTGTGTGCGTGCGTGCGTGCGTGCGTGTGTGCGTGCGTGCGTGCGTGCGTGCGTGCGTGCGTGCGTGTGCGTGCGTGTGTGTGTGTGTGTGTGTGTGTGTGTGTGTGTGTGTTTATATTTGAAATAGATATATATATTTTTAGGTTGAAGATCTGCCGAGTATTGTACAAGAACAGATGTTAGAGGAATTGTTAGATAAGGAAGCTCAACAGCAATTGGAAGGTGGTGGTGGCGAACCGCCAGCTCTAAATTGGTCTTTAGAAATTACTGAACGATTAGGTAGTCGTTTACACGCACTCTGGAATCGATCGGCCGGAGATTGTCTTCTAGATTCTGCTATGCAGGCTACTTGGGGTGTTTTCGATAGGGACAATGCTCTAAGGAGAGCGCTTGCTGACACTCTACAACAAGCTGGACAATTGTAAGATTTGCAATTAAATATATATTGTAATCTATATTTTAATCTATAATTTATTCTAATTTATTTTAATTTAATCTATTCAATATAAATATCAATTTAATTTATTCAATATAAATATATATATAATATATAGATATATTAGGTATAGTAAAAAGAAATCCATTATCTTTCCATTCAATTTCATGCAAAAATAATGGATTTCTTTTTACTACACCTAATATATTAAAATTTATGTGTAAATAATGAATAATGTCAAATTCGTAATAAATAATAAAATAATAAAATAAAAAATTAAAAAGTTAATTAATTTTTCAGTTTATAATGGGCTTTCAACAAGAGACACATTACGGTGTGACACGGTGCATCATTATATCCTTGTTGTTCGACAATATTAAACAAGGATGAGATGATCACTGTTGTACCGAATCGCTTGTTGTTGAAAAGCATTCAATAATGATCAATAAATTAATTGATAGAGTAACAATAATAAAAGAAGAAAATGAATAAAATTGTAAAAAAATTATTAAATTATTCTTAAAAGAATGAAAAATATTATAATTATATAAAAGTTTATTTAATGAATAAATATATATTTTTTATTTAGTTAGAATGGGACCATATATTTTATATAAAATTTCCTAGCTTTTATCCTCGTTGGAGAGAGTATGAAGCCTCGCAAGCATCTAGGATGTTAGATTTCACTTTAGAAGAAACACAATGGCAAGAAGACTGGGAAAGCTTGTTAGCAACGGCCGCTCAACCCGGAAGCGCGTTAGAACAATTGCACGTGTTTGCCCTGGCCCACATTTTAAGACGACCCATCATAGTCTATGGAGTTAAATATGTTAAAAGTTTTCGCGGTGAAGATATAGGTAAATTTAAAAAAAAATACTCTATTTTTTTGCTTTTCATTCAATAATAAATTAATTTATAAACTTAAAATGATTTTTTGATTTATTTGTTGATGTAAAATCTTTAAAATTTTAAATCCAATTTAAATCATTTATCGTTAGCTTTTTAATTGTTTACTGAACATTTATGTGATTATATCATATTAATCCTAAATTCATAATTTTTTATTTAATATTTCTAATTAAATTAGTTATAACTAAATTTAAATAGTAGTTATATTTTTTTATATATTCATATACAACACTAAAAAATTTTATAACATTTTCTTTAAAGCTTTAAAGATTTTTTTTAAAAACTCAAGATTCATAAGATTCAAGAAATTCTTCAGAAATTTTTTCTATTATATGGAAAGAATTTTTTTTTTTAATTTAAGATATCAATTTCTGTTATTTTGCAGGTTATGCAAGATTCGAAGGCGTTTATCTACCACTATTATGGGAACCCTCATTTTGCATCCGTTCACCAATTGCATTGGGTTATACTCGTGGCCATTTCACGGCATTGGTTCCAATCGAGCCATATGCCTCGTCCAGAATACCGCCCCTCGCGACCCATGGGGTAGTGAGCGGGAACAACAGTCCACTCGAGCAGCTACAGATTCAAATGCAGACCACCTTTATGCCACTAATGGATCGCGAGCATAAGCTCCTGCCAATACACTTTCTCACGACGGATGAAATCGGTCGTGAGGAATCAATCTATAAAGAATGGTTGGATGTGTGCAGAACAGAGGGTGGAATACTTGTAGCACAGCAGAAACTTCACAAAAGACCATTACTTGTTGCGCAGATGTTAGAAGAGTGGTTGAATCATTATCGTAGATTAGCGTGAGTGCTTTATAATTTTCTTGAGTCGCGTTAAAGAAATCATAACTGTAATATAATGTAATTTAAAAGAACAATTTTAATACAAAAAATGTAAACTAATTAAAATTATGAACGCGATTAATAAGATTTGGATAAATAATTTTCTTTTCTTTAAATGTTGCAGTCAAACTAACGAGGCACCCTTCTCGAGACCACCCACATTACAGGATTATAGTAGCGATGGTGATACCGAAGATGAATAGTGCAGTAATTTTAATAAGAAAGAAGTGTTGCGACTGACATGAGAAGCATTTCCATTTCTCACAAGTTTATTCTCGACCGAAAATTATAAAATGGTTAGTATTATAAAACGAAAACTACCGTGAATGCCGTACTTTCATAAGTAATTCAATACAGAGAAACTACTACGTCCATACACTGGCAATGTACTATTTAAAAAATTGAAAATGCTGTTACATCATTTTGCAAGCCAAAATTGTAAAATTTGAATTAGGATTTACGAAACACCAAATTTTATGCATTGATTATTGAGTTAATTCTTTTATGATTAAATTAGCATACGTTTGTAGAAATGTTTAGAATTATAACAAACAAATCAATGCCAGTTTGTTGTAAAAATCTTTTCTTACGGAAAAAATTATTTTTATTACATTATGCTGACGTTAATGCAACTTAAGAAAACTGATGTAACAATTTTTTTTATCATGATAAAAAATGGAAAGAAAATACAAGTTTAATTTCTTGATGTGGAAAAGGGAATGTTGAATATATTATATATAAGTATGGAGATGTTTAAATAATACATATAAGTGTTATATAATTCATTGCCAGTGACGATGAGCGAAAGTGGGAAACATTGTCGTTTGTTACATTGTCGAATCGTTTTGCATAATAATAGAAATTTAATTGTTAGGCTATTGAAAATAAAATTTTTTCACAGATAGTTTGTAAAAATATAGTCTCGGAGGAGGAAAAAATTTAGAACTTTCTCTCTCGCAAAATATCGCGGAATTTTGCAGAAACGTTCGGACAAGTTTTTGAGCGTTTATTTGTCGCGTTCCATTATAATGACAAACGAAATAATAAATGTGATTTAATGGCAGACTTTTTGGTCTATTTTCCTCTCTTAAAAGAAATAACTTAGATATCAGTAATTTTTAAAATTTTGAATAATTAATTCCGACATATAATCATTAAAAATTAATTATTCAAATATTAATCGATAATTGTGAAAGTTTCCTATCTTCAAATATAAGATTTAATAAATAATTGAGCTTTAAAGATTAAAAAATTTTTGTAGATTTTGTAGAATTTGATGTAACATTATTCTTCTTACTTTTGGAGTTAATTTTTCTCCAAAATAAAATTTTTTACTTTAATTTTATATATTTCGAATAAAATAAAAATATTTATTTTAATGGAGATTAATATAACTTTTTCTTGGCTACAAAAATCTGCCACTAAAGATTGATGTAAAACATCTTATAATAATATGAATTCCGAGACACGATCCTTAAGGATCCTTAATCTAGAAAAGTCAACAAATTCCGTGTATAATCGTCTTTAAGTCGTTTCACTTGTTATAACTTAGAGCTGCGTTAAACAAATCAAGCAGCCAAACACAAACAACGATCTGTCCCCTTTTTAATGATCGAAATCATGCGTTTATCTCCAACGGTGTGTTAATAGGGAAAAAATATTACTAACGGACTTGTGAAAAAATTGTGCTTTTTTCTCTATAAAGAAAAAAATATATGGTTTAATTTTTATGCGTGGGGTATAATATATTGTTATTTAATAATAATAATAATATATTACATTTTTCGCGTAAATATGGTTCATCGTGTTAAATATTATAGATAACACTAAATGAACTTTTATAAGAAGCGATGAAGAAGAAATTAAAGAGATGAGCACATATGTTGAGCGTTAGAATTATTATTGAACAGCCGATACACACACGCACTCATTCACTCACACATCTAACGGCGCATTCTAGCGAACGAAAGAGCGATTGTAACAAATCTTTAATCAAAAAAGTACAAAATCGCTAAAAACATTTCTTCGGAAATGCTTCTTCATTTTTTCGACATAATAATAGTCTTTATTTCTTACTATTTAATTTCGATAACAATGTAGCATCTAGTCTTTTTGAATGTAGCACCACATCGCGTTTTTTTTTCTTTCTTAAACATGAATTAATTATTACGCGATCGAAAGTCACGTAATAAAAATTAATGAAGAAGACTCGGAAAGATCGAAATCAGATCAAGAAACCGATGTAATTCTGTCGGATTTTGATTTATTAATTTTCGAAATAGATCTCGGAATCAAAGAAAAAAGAAAATCATTAAATATGAAATAATATAATATAAAATGTAAAATTTTGAACATGATGTGATATGAAAAAGATTGTATTATTATTATTATTATTATTAATTTCGACTTATTTTCGTTTTATTTTTACGCGAAATATCCTTTACTCCAGTTATCTCACACTTAATCCTTTCATATCCTATATATATGTACAGATTAAAAATTAAAAGAAAAAGAAAAAGATTTTAAATAATCACGGAGAAATTCGAATTCAAAAAAGAAGCTCGAAATTTAGCGTAGAATATTGGAACAGAAATTGTATATAACTCTATGAATTTCAGGAACATTTTGAAACTTTAAGTCATTTTTATCTTATTGTACAATGCCAAAAGTAAAGTCGAAATATTCCTGCAAATAATCATTGTTCTAACATTCTGCGTTATAATTTAAATTCAGATTATTTTGCTAATCTATGAAATCATTATTTTCAATATATGGTTTTTAATTAGTTTACAAAAAAATTAAGAGAATTTTTTCTTTCCATTTAAATTATGAAGTTATTTGACATAATTAATGATGAAATTTCTATTAACCATTTATTTATTACAATGAATTATATATTTATGGATTATACATTATGTAAATAAATTAATTCTTTTTATTTTTCAGAAGAAATAAACTTATGACGAACTTATATACTTTTGTTATGAAATTTTCGACTGAATTCACCGAAATTATATCGGTTTCTGGATCCCTAATTTTCGAAGGGGACAATAGGTATAAGTCAATTGCATAGTGTTCTGTCTGCGGCAGAAGCGAGGCTTATCGCTCTATTATTGTAATTGTTAATATTATATACATCGACAATCGTTATTGTTATGATCATTATTACGATCATTGATATAGCATAATTCTGTGACTTACAAGGTCCATTTTTAAGTACGAAATTGTATCTTTAGTATGTGAGTTCTGTAAGTTTAGACTATATTTACTGTAAATTTTTTTTGTAAAAATGCGATAATGCTGGCTTCTGCGTAAAAAAAAAGAAATGAAAGTAAAAAGTTTTCCCCATTAATCTTCGATATTAATTGTTATTAATAAAATTAGCTTTTTTAATGTATTTATCAAAACGTATTTAGTAAACGTTATTATTTTTTTTTATTTCTAATTATTTAAGAATTAGAAACTATTATTTTAGTAATTTTAATTAAATTTCAACATAAATTATTTATTATTAATAAAAAATGATATCGAAAGTTAATTCTGAAATTAACACTTTTAATTAATTTATTCTCAGATTAATTTTCGATGAACACGGCAAGTTTTTTCGGCAAAGTAGAAAAAAAATGTTAAAACATTAATAATGTTTGATGGGGATATGTTTTCTTTTTAAGCAAGCATAGTTTTCTCGGTTTCTTGTTTGCCAGAATTTATTCTTGGCAGGTGATAAAGTATAGAGAGTTTTAAAAATCTATTCTCTAATCGGAATAGAGAAGTCTATAAATATATAAATATAAATATTAATAGAGCACATCTATGAGATATAAATATTATATGAGATAATATATCAATGTACAATAATTCGAAAATAACGATTTATTATTATTATTAATTATTATTACCACGATTCTAACGATGATTATTATAAATACTATAATAAGAGAACTTCGAGGTGTGAATCAATAAATGCTGAATTACTTTATGTCATTTTTATTTTTATTGAAAGAACTTTTCAGGATTTATTAAATGAAGATTAATTTTTAAGATAATGATTAATAATTCGATCAAGTATCTCTTTTAAACACTCTAAAAAGGTTTGAAAAATTGATATGTTTTTTAGATAATTTAAAATGACTCCGATATTTTTCGCAAATATTTATTAAAATAATTCTATTTAACCTTAAAATCATTTTATTTAATGCGTTTTATTTAATTTTAATTTAAGCCAATAATTTTTTGTTTATATTGATGTATCTATACTAGTCTATATTTTTCAATTAAATCTAGAAATAAGCTGTTTTTATCTTTTATACACACACACACACACACACACACACACACACACACACACACACACACACACACAAAGTGTCCTAAAATACTAACACCTTTGTTTGTGGGCAGATAGATTGGTCTAAATTCGAAATATTCTCTATCATTTTGCAATTTTTACAATAGTTAATGAAATATAAATTTTTAAATATTACCGTATAAGCAGGTAAAATCGATAAAACATTTAAGAATCTTTCGGAGTTTTTTATGAAACATTTGAAAAATGTTTCTTAAAAAATTTTTAAAGATATCTCAAAATTATTTTATGCGTCGATTTTAGATCTGCTCATTTTAATTAAAAAAAGGTTGTGAAAATTGAAAAATAGTAAGGGACTATTTGATTCAATTTAATCCGCTCTATCTATCCACAAGCGGTGTGCCAAGAAGTTTAGGACATCCTGTATATTTCTTTTCCTTCAGAATGAAACAATGAATTTATTGAACTATAATTATAAAGGATTTTTTTTCAATACAATTAATAAAATAATTCTAAAGATTTCATTAGAATTATTA